GGTAACGGTTGGGGCCGCGGTCGTTGTCGTTTCGTATAGGAGACGTCTCGCGTCTATCGCTTTCCCGAGCTATCTTTAAAATACAGCGACGGAGATTCGCGTCTCCGGCGGTCTCGGTTTGCGACAACGAAGTCGTCTCGGTGTCAAGAAACCGTCGGTAGTCACCGATCGAGTGACGCGGAGCGAGAAAAGTGCGGACGGGTCGAAACGAGACGAGAGGAGGCAAAGCGACATTGTTCGAATGCGAGCACGCAGCAGAGAAAGACGTTCAACGGCGGCATTTATTTTCGGCCAATTAACGGCATTCCTCGACGGTGGCATCTCCTCGTTGCATAACTCGTCGGGGAACGACGCGACGCGACGGGACGAGCGAAAGAAATGGCCGCGAACCGAGAACAACGGAGCTGGCTGGGCAAAAGGAGCGGAGAAAAGCAGACGAGGCGAAGACGCGACGACACGCGACACCCGAGGCTTTCCTCGTCTTCCGCCGCGATACGTTCTTCGTCTTCGCAACCTCTCAATTTGGAACTTCTCACAAGGAATCTTAGCTTTCTTTCTTTCGTATCTTTTGGCGATTTCGCCATCGAAACTGAGACGCATCGAAAGAGTTGCTTTTACCATTAATCGCGCGTTTCTCGCGCGGGCACAGCACGAGATTAGACTTTTAAATTTCCCCGGCAAAGCGTTATTCTCGTCGCGACCATGCGATGTTTTACTATCGTATCGACGGAATACGCCGAATGGCAGGCAAAGGAACATTGTCGTCTTAACGGTGTCGACGACAAGATTCGAGCTGGAAAGCGTAGGCGCTGTAACGAAGACGAATGAAGGAAACGCAAATTACTGTCTTTCACCTATCCGTACGTGTATAACACCTTGGTAATCGACAAAACTTCTTTGTTATCGATATTCGCTAATCCTTGTCAATTTTACTGAAAAGATGCAAAATATCGAAAGTTTTGAATTGTCCTAATTCCGATGGCCAAGAACTGTGCATATAGGAGGGATGGTTAGGATTGATCGGGTCGCGGTCACGAGGTCCGATAATCGGTGCCCTCGTGACGCAACGCACGCTCTTCCAAGCACAAACTGCATTGCGAGTCCTCGAACGAGAAAAAAATATAGACGAGTGGAGCGAGTGTCTGTTGGGGTGGCGAATCGAAAATCTGTTCCAGTCGGAAGTATCGACTGCGTGACAAACGAGTGTGATATTCGTAAGTATTGGGATACTTGATAAGTCTAAATAATTAGGTTAAATCTAAAGTTAAACAACCCCTTGAATTATTATTTCGTTTGAAACTTTAGACTATAAAGTGTGTTAGATACCGTAATAAAAAGTTTATCGGTTGTATATCGTGAAACTGATTAGGGTTCGTGTTCGTTACAACGTCCGAGATTCGCTGAGAAGTCACGGAAACTGAAATAGTTGCTACAAAGTCGAAAACGTCGGACTCTAAATACGCAAGCGCGACAAGAGCATCTGTATGGCCTTTCGTTTGGAGTTTTTGTTTCTGGACTAACTGGCCACTATAGTTTCCGCGGAAACATGCACTCTCCTGTGTTCGTTTTTACTTTCGTTCGGCCCGTCCGTTCATCTATTCGAGGTTCACCCAGCATTTCGATCTGCCGTCGGCCGTTTACTCACGGGCTCTCGAAATTTCGGTCAACGAACTTTCGAATTTCTTGGCGCGTTTCCCTTCTGTCGCGTTGGCAGTTCTAGGCAATCAGCCTCGTTCGTCGTTGGTAATTATCGGTGGCACGCGCGGAGGTGAGACGTTTCGCGGCCGATTCGGAATACCAATCGAAATTAATTACCGTGACGAGCTCCACGATCAAATTAACCTTCGATAACGAAGCACTGCGCCGCGGCACGACCCGGGTCTATGCCCGATCGAGATTCAACCATCTGCTTCGCTCTCATTCGCTCGAGTCCAGTCGATCCGCGGTTGTGTCACAGCTGGAGAGAATCGCGGTACAAACATGCCACGGACAAGCGATACTTTTTTTTTATCGCCGGGCTTTCGTATATTCCGGATTTGTCATTCGTATTTCTGCCCCTCGGTAGATAATATCGATGGTCGTTGGTCGGAGTTATCGAGGGCGTGAGACCCCTTGCGTCCTTTGGCGACGTTTCGTTCCCTATCTCTTAGCTCGTACATCACCTCTGACAACTAAAACCGGTATTTACGGCCGAGTCCTTGGATCCCCTATGCTTATGCTTTTGGTTCGCTTACGATTCGCTTGGCAGGAAAATCCTTCTTTAAAATTTTCATCGTTCTTGACTTTTTCTTTCTTCGTTCGTGGCAAAATCTCTAGCACCAGTTTGCTTTGCTTCGCGATCGAGCGCGGTATTGCGATGGGCGGAGTTGAAATTTATCGCGAGGAACTTTTTACCCGACAAATGTTAGAAGTGGTGGAAATCGTTCGAGCGATGCGGAGAAAATCATTTTTGCATGCGAATTACGTCAAATCGAGGTAATTTATTATTTTGACGCGGAGTAAGTATTCTGGGTGAACAACTCTTTAGCAAGAAAATATATAGTTTGAAAACATTTCTTAATGGCATTGCCAATTTTCACTGAAAACTCGTTATTACAATTATTTATTTAATTACAATTATGCAAGGTTGATTTTGTATTTCGTAAATCCCGTTTTTTTCTGCACGACGATCTCCCCTGGAAATTATATCACACGTCGAACGTGTGCACCAGACATTTTCCTGGTTCGATGTTTAATTATTTTTCGACAGCTCTTGGATGTCCCGACCTTTCGTTTCAGAAAGGTTCGCCATTTGCTCTCTCTGATAAGCAGTCGGCGTGCGGCACAGAGGCTGGCTCGCGATATCGTGCGCGTCGATCTTTCTCTCATCTTCCCGGCAATGCCAGCTTTGAAGGGTTTCTTCCTCCGCGCTGACTCGTCGATAGAGCGCGACGCGACGCCGAACAATCGATGGGACGATGGTTGTAAAGTCGGCCATCGGGGAGGATGCTGGCGCGCGAACGTTGAACGAGGGAATTGGATTCGCTCGGAATTTCGAGGCGTTAAACCGTACGAAGGGAGAAGACACGCTTCGAAGCAATTACAGGCGGTTGAATCGACGCCGCGAAATTTAATCCGGGGCTCACCGATTTCCAGGGGATCGATATAAAAAGTCGGCCGACGAGGTGGTAGCCTCGTTCTCGAGATATCTGCCGATGTCGGGATACGGCGCAATTACGCAAATGAATTCAAACGGTAACGAATCCGGCATTCTCGAAAGAATTAAACGACGATGATTTTCTGAGTCGGTGCAATTACTTTGGCCGCGGATAAAGGGAAATGGGAATACGAGGGCGATGCGAGAGGGAAAACGGTGGGCGAGAGCGCGAGCGCGACCCACCGAAAACACCAGCACCGTCCTCTGGGAAATACGTCTTGCTTCGCCGGTGGCGAGAAAATTTAATATCCGAATCGACGTTCGCGGTTGCTGCTGTGCACTGTGTACACTGTGCGCGGTTGACGTCGTCTTTGCTCGACGAAACTCGAAGCGATCCGGTCCGAGTATCGACGGATGCGCGCCACTCTTCTCCGCTTCGTTGTCCTGTTTCTTTCCTCTTGCCTACTACCATCTGTCGTAGTAAATACCTAGAGTCTTCTACTAGACGATTCTGTTATCGGGCGTTCCGCGAGTTAGCTTCCGCGCGACGTAACTCCTTTTTCTTCGATGGAAATTCGTTTATCGTCAGTAACAAATATCGCGCAGATGGTAGATTTTGGCTCGAGATCACAGAAAGTTCGAGATATTCGCGATATAGATGGTGCGTACGTGGCTTACCTTATTTAAAGAAAGGAAACTGCTGCGTGTCTTGTAATTCGATAATTGGCGATTCTGCTCGAGATGCTACTTATATTTTTTGCGAATCTTGCTTGACGTTTCGAAAGAAACGTCGGAGCACAATTACTCTAGTGTAGCCTAAAGAAAATTGACGATCGTCGATTTTTTCTTTCTCTGCCGGAGATTAAGGTGTCATTCCGTAACGATGTTACTTCAGAGTAAATTACTTTCTGCGGCGAAAAAGACGTCGCTTCCGGCTGTTGGCGACGCTAGAAACGGAACAACGGTCGACACGATTAGGACGTCGTTAAGTACGTTAATACGGTAATACGGTATACTCGATTGCCATTCCTTGTTACGTGTATCTCACTGGCAATCTCTTGGCAACGACGAAAATGAAGTTTCCCACGGTAATTTGTCCGACGTTCAGCTACACCGATGTTTCGTTTCCTCGTTCTCGCAGTTGGCACGATACTGAGACAAGAATTGTTTTTCCCTTATCGTCGTGGTCAACGACGAAAGATGGCTGGTAAGTGGGTGGAAAGCAAGGTGAAACGGTACAAGAAAGTGAGGAATTTCGAATTTACTTTCAAACGTTTCTCGTTCACGACAGAATTGCTGGAATTCTGTTCGCGAGCTCCAATATGGATTAGATACGATGCTATTTCTATCGACGAATACATAACTTTGGTCAATGTGGACTCGGCATTAACGCACCTAGCCGATCTATTCCTTCCGATTGCATTTCGCGCTATCGACCTGCCTATGTTGCACGTTCTAGTATGCATCGGTGTCCGCAAGAATGTCCGTCCCAACGATATCGACGAGAAAGCACTGGCAATACATTGGCAAAATCCAGCCCTCGAATCGATATTGGACGACGCTCGACGCGATTCCTCGTTGTCGAGAGAATTATTGGTTTTCGTTCTACCGTTTTTCCAGCATCGCAAAACGACATAATGTCGGCGATTCGTCTAGATTTACTAGATCTGTGTCCACGAAACACGCGATCTTGTTTGTGTAAAGTTGCGTTGAAAAATCCAAACGTATGAGCGTTACGTTACCGATTAACTTTTTCGTCACGGCGACTTGAACTTTTCCTCGACAAAATTCCTCGTCGTTGTGGAAATCGCTTCGACTCGCGTTTAAACATACATTTACGCTGCTTTTTCTATTTTGATTGCAGATCTCGCCCGCTTCAGATTCAGTCGTTCGTCATCGAGCGTTCACAATGGCCGTTCGTTTATGGTAAGTTTTCGACGACGAGTCAGAACATGGTCGTTTTTCATAATGTTTCGCCGTGTTGCCAGTCTCGTTTCTGACTAGCCTGCACTGCTTTTTAAACAAATGAAAAATTTGACGACGACCGTTTCTGATGCGAATCCCTTGATTCTCCGATTCTGATCGAAATCCACGAGAAACCGTTTCGAAACATTATCTCGAAGGGACCTAAAATCATAATTATCCGCGCAGGATCTCGACCAAGCCTCTTCGGTTTAAATCCTTAAATCCTTCTTATCCTATGAATTATGCCGACGTTAAAACGGTCTAACGAATTTCGCCGAGCTGTGGTAGAGCGAACGCGTGCACGTACGCGTTGGAGACGATCCAAGGTGGTAGCGAGCAAAGGAATGTCGTGCCTTCGGCGATAAGAACAAGGAAAAGAGAAAAAAAAAGAGAGAAGCAGTGGTCGTTAACTCTTCGAGACATCAGGACTTCGATACTCCGACTATGCTCCTGAACTTTTCGAAACATCTCGAGCAGAGACACGTATTCTCCACGTTGCCGAGATCGAAATTTCATATCTCGAATCCACCATTTTTCCTCAAATACCCATGAAATTTCATCTCGATCTACCGACGTGGATTCGGACAATCCAATTCTCCTCGCTGTAAGTCCAGACAGACGAGTGCCCCGAGTCGCGTAACTATCTTGGCGCGAGTTTCGAACGAAATACGCACGAACTTTCGCGTAATTGCGTAATTGGTAGCAGGTGTCGAGCGAAAGATTCGAGCAGCGAACATGGCCGTCAGTGAAGAGAATTCGAACGAGGAGACGAGGGGTGGGTAAGAGGAGGAAGCGACACGAGGCGAAAACTCGAAGAGAAGTGAAAAGATAGCGGAGTTGCGGTTCTACGAAACCGGTGTCGGTGTCAGAGTCGGCATTCGCGTCTGCGTCTGCGACGATCTCTATAAATAATTGGGGGAATCCCGCGGTAGCAGAAGAAATTGCCGTATTCCACGGCAAACGTGGTACACTGTCGTCGAAATATTTGCACGACTTCCTCCCCTTCGCCTCGTCTTCCTCTAATTTTGGCCGGCAAACCGTCGAAAACTCTTCGACCAGCGGTCGCTCGTCTTCTTTTTCTTTCGCGACCGAGAACGTCTGCCCGACTTTGCTCCAATTTCTATTTTCGACCGAGACGTTGAAACTTTCGAGGTAGATACGTTCGCGATCCGACGCCGACCGATTCGACGAGAATCGAAACGCGCGTCGTTCGGGGCCTGTCTTTGTCATGGTCGTTGTTGGCTGTCCACCTATCGGGCTATTAGCGTTGAAAGATATTCGTTTTCGTCCTGGCGATATTTCGTTCGAAGATCAACCACGATTGACCAAACGTTTACAAATGAGAAGCACCCGGTCTATCGATAAATTCGTAAATTCTAAGGATCAACGATTCATTGCGAGGGGTACAGTTAGTTACATAAATATTGAAAAAACGTCCGTTATATTTTTATTACATGAAACCGACAGAACATTTTCTCAAACTAATAGAGCAACGTCTACCTATGTTCTATGTCGTAGACGAATCCAGCGCGTATAAGAAGCGAGCAAAGCGACGGAGCGGCAGCGGTGTCGTCCGGAAGCGAAGGCCGGAGAAGAAGCGGCGAGAGCGTGCCAGTGCCGGTGCCGGTATCGGTGCCGGTGCTCGTGCCTCTCGACGGACCGAGGAAACAGGAACGAGAGACTACGTTTCCTTTCTGCCAGGTGCGCTCGTATCCCCATCCAAAGTGGCTAAGAGCGTAAGTCCTCATCGAGTGCACCAGGAGTGCTCGAGCGGAGGGGAGGTGCAGGTACAGGTGCAGCAGGAGAGACGAGCACCGAGGCGCATGCCTTACCTGGGGCCTGATATGACAACCCGGCTATCCGCCATGTTTTACACGGTTGAAGTCGGGGACACCAGATTCACCATTCTCAAGCGGTATCAAAACCTGAAGCCAATCGGTTCCGGGGCACAGGGGATCGTTTGGTAAGTGATGGCGATTGTCCTGCAAATCATCGACCATGTGTCGAAGCTTAAATAATTTTAATTAAACTTGAAGTCGTAAGTAAAGTAAGCGCAGGATTTCCTGCCGCTTTCCCACAATTTTGACTGATTTTAAGAGGAGAAACCGACGACGCACGCGAAGAAAGCAGTACGATGACCGAGTGGCTAGCACTCAGCCCTTCCATGGTTTCGTTTACATAATTGAAACGCGATTAAAATTGCCGTACGAGTGGAAGGCGTGCAGGGTCGTCGACGACTCGCCATCGATCGATGAATCTCTAATTATTATTTGCCCGCGTTTGTTGCAGCGCGGCGTACGACACGGTGACCGCGCAAAATGTCGCGATCAAGAAACTCTCCAGACCTTTTCAGAACGTGACGCACGCGAAGAGAGCGTATAGGGAATTCAAGCTTATGAAGCTGGTCAATCATAAGAACGTAAGTATATATTTTCGTCGTATCGGATGTACACCCACGTTGATAAGTATTGGAAGACGCTCAAGTGCGAGAGGACCCAGATATTCCAGCCGATACTTAGAAACGGGAGCGTACGCTACCTTGATTCGAATTTCTGGTTATTCTCTATTCGACAGATAATCGGTTTGTTGAACGCGTTCACGCCGCAACGGTCGTTGGACGAGTTTCAAGACGTGTACTTGGTGATGGAGCTTATGGACGCGAACCTGTGCCAGGTGATTCAGATGGATCTGGATCACGAGCGTATGTCCTACCTGCTTTATCAGATGCTGTGCGGCATCAAGCACTTACACTCGGCCGGTATCATTCACAGGGTAAGTCGCGAGTGGAGATTCGATTATTTTCGGTCACGACCAGATTTACGAGTTGTCAAGCCTTTTTTTTGCGCCTCCTATTCGTTGGTTACGCGTAGGATTTGAAGCCGAGCAATATCGTGGTAAAGGCAGACTGTACGCTGAAAATTCTCGACTTTGGCCTGGCTAGGACCGCTGGGACAACCTTCATGATGACGCCGTACGTGGTGACGCGATACTACAGGGCGCCGGAGGTAAGGATAAGAAAAAGAACGCGAAACGCGAACTCATAGCACGCATATCGGTATAGCGTTGGCGAATAGATCAGGATACAGATCAAACGTCGATTTCATCGATTCGTGTCGCGAGTCTCGATTTTCGCTACTAGAATCGCGCCAGCTTCCGCTCGTTTCGTTCTCGACACACCATGTACACCGTGATCCGGACGATCTGTCGTCTCGCAGGTGATCCTCGGGATGGGATACAAGGAGAACGTGGATATTTGGTCGGTCGGATGCATAATGGGCGAAATGATTCGGGGCGGTGTGCTGTTTCCCGGCACGGATCACATCGACCAGTGGAACAAGATAATCGGTAGGTCGCCGTGATCGCTTGCCCGTCTTCCATCGAGGAACGTGCGCGCTTTAACACGCGCCCGCTGGACGTTTTTGCAGAGCAACTGGGAACGCCGGCGCAGGAATTCATGCAGCGGCTGCAGCCAACGGTCAGGAATTACGTTGAGAACAGGCCGCGGTATCCGGGATATCCGTTCGACAGGTTATTCCCGGACGTTCTGTTTCCATCGGACTCGTCGGAGCACAACCGATTGAAAGGTGAGCGATCGGAAAAGCTTCCGCTCGAAGCGGTTCATCCTTCGCTACGTTTCTTCCATGCCCGTTTTTCCTTCTCGTTCCGTGTTTCAGCCAGCCAAGCCAGGGATCTATTGTCGCGCATGCTCGTGATCGACCCCGAGCGACGCATCTCCGTCGACGATGCTTTGCTGCACAATTACATAAACGTGTGGTACGACGAGGGCGAAGTCAATGCCGTAAGTGTCGTCGATCCTTCGTTAATCTGGCAGTCTCGCTACCGCACTCGCCTCGCCTACATACGTACCTTCTTCTACTTCCGTATTATCCCTCGACCACGTTTTCACGTTTGTAAAGGGGGCGGGGTGAATGGTGACGGTGGTGGGAGAAAGAAGGAGAGTATCGATCGGCGACCGATTCGAGTCGCGTCTGTCGAGTGGTTCTTTCTTTCGAGAGAACGAGAAAGACGATGATCGAATGTTAGTTGGACGTTTGTTACAGCCTGCACCAGGCCCCTACGACCATAGCGTGGACGAGAGGGAACACACGGTGGACCAGTGGAAAGAGCTGATTTACCAGGAGGTGATGGAGTACGAGACGAGCCATAATCCGGCGACGGTGGCTCAAACGTCCGAGAGTGGTGATTCTCGGTAGACACGCAAGAACCTTACCACCTTTCGCGTCAGGGGCGCACCTAGACTGTCCGATCTATTATACGTACATATATATACACACGCGTGCGCGAACACCTACCCGCCCACGCACATACACGTACACAGGCCCACGACATATTACGACAGATGCGTGTGTATATGTATGCATGTATGTATGAATATATATACATATACATACATATACAAATATATATATATATTTATATATATTCGTGGAAATGTAAAGAAAGGAAGCGACGATTAGGAACAGTTTCACGTCCATGGAAAAGACGTACGTTAAACGAAGAGCCGTTTTCGTTCGAGACGAAGAAGATCACGAAACGAATGAAACCAGGATAGAAAAGGAAAGTGCGAGAGAGAGAGAGAGAGAGAGAGTGAGAGTGTGTGTGCGTGCGTGTGTGTGCGAGAGGACAAGAGCGAGAGCGAACACGATCGAGCAGGAGTGTGTGCGAGAAGCAAGGAGAGAAAATGTGAGATGAAGCGAAAGGTAAAATGGTAAAGCGCTTATTTGCGAGGAAAGAGCGAAAAGGAAAGAAGATAGTCGGCAACAGAGAGAAAGAGAGAGAGAGAGAGAGAGAAAGAGAGAGAAATATGTCGTTCGCGCGGACGTACGAGGCATAACGAGCGCGCGTTTGCGAAAGCGTATATGCGATAGGAATCCCTGCAACAACCAAAGCATCGACGCGATTCGGAGGTCCGCCAACGAACGCGTTCACTCGACAAACAGGATACATATGTACCGCGCGACGTTCGTCGTTGTTCTCGCTCGGTCTTCTTGTTCCGCTTTCCGAGCGTATCTCCTTTGTGCGGGAAACGCGCATTCGTTCGCAACGAACGTTCTCCGCGATCGAGCTTACAATTAGTTGAAAAGCTTGCAACACACGCGTCGCCGATCGGTCCACAACTCTGGAATGTTCCGTTTTCCAAATCGACCTAATGCAACTGGTTTGTTGTATCCGGTCGCGTCTCACGCGGTCCGGTCGCGTCGCGAACCAAACCGAACGAGAGTTCTATGCTCCTTCGTCTTTTCCCGCTTGTTTCTTCCTCGTTGTCCGTTTCACCTACCGCACTTACTTTCTTCTTTCGCTCTTCTACGATCAGAAATCAGACAATTGGTTTAAACGAAAATATGCCGATGAAAACGATAAACTGCCGAAAAGATTTATCTTAGTTCGCGATCGTGCCGCGCATCTTTTCATTACTGCCATCGTATCGAACGAACCGCTCTTTTTTCTCCCTGATCGCGCGCAATCGATTCGTCGACCCGTCGCGTTTGTTGCAGCGAACGTGCAACGAAACGCGATGACAACTGATTTTCTCCGGAGCAGTATCTTTGTACTCGCGTGTCTGCTAGATGGTCGAGGAAAACTCGTCGCGACGTTGGTTCGCGGCAATAACGATGCGTGGGTAACACGCGGATGGAACGCGATAAAAGCGTACTTGAATGATTCGAAGAAAGTGACGTACGATGAGAGAGTGATAGAGGGAGGGGGGGACAAGTAAGTAAGTCACATAGTCGATCGAAACGAATGCAATTTTCTACGTAATTCCAAAGCGTCCAAACTACAGGGTGTCGCTGAATACAAGAGCTCGAGCATTCCCTTTTCAAAATCCGAATTTCGATTTACCGTGATTACGCGTTTAATCGTCGAGCGAGAACATTGTGTGTATTTTTATATGCGATTCGAAATGCGTGCTTTTGTCTCATCGTTTTCGTGCGCTCGTACGCCACCGATATTTTATAACGCTAACTTTGTAAGATGGAAAGCCGAGAAAGAACACAAAGAGAAAGCGAAGGGATCCAGCGATACCTAAAATAAGCATCGTCGAGCACGACAAGGCCACAGTCGAATCCGTTTCTTCGAAAACTGAAAGTGCAATGTCGCGGCGATTGATCCTCGAGTTATCCGACGATGTTATCCGCGGTTATACTTGTCGATTGTATTTAGCTAGATAGTTTCTTAGGTAAAAACTCGTT